CAAGGAGGAGGATATGGAACTGGCGGAGAGAGTGGAGAGGGTGGAGGACGTGGTAGTGGTGGATATGCACCTTGAAAAGAACTATTACTTAAGCTGGTTATCGGCCAACACCAAAATCTTTGTGTTGACCACCAATAAAAATTATATTTTACTTTCTTAATGAATTAAATATACTATTACAATGATTGAAGAATGAAAATCAGGAACCTACATTATCCGTTTGGTAAATTTCCTTTGTTCTTGTTTCTAAAATATATCTATATGTTGTATTAATATGATTTTATATCCCATGTCCAAATATTTCTCTTTCCAATCAACTTGAGTGCTACCTCAAAATATAGGCTAAACATGAGAGAGATTGATTGAATACACAAAGTAACTCCATGAAGATTATTGCAAATTATATTAATTTTTTAATTAGCTTAAACACTTTTGTAGTTAGCAAAATTTATAGATCATTTAAAAACATAAATATTTAGTAGATGGGTTACATTAATCATACTAAATGTAAGAATTTGATAGAAGTACAGTTGAAAGTTCATACACATAATTGAAATTTTTTAAAATTCAAGAACTAAATAGACACAACTCGAAATATAATTGTTGAACTTATAATTTAACCCATTTTTAAATTAACCCTAAAAAATGGTTAATTTCAGCTATTTAACGAATAAGAAGACTGTCGGGAATCAGGAGTGGAATCGGTGTCAAACTCAGGCTCCTTCTTGATCATATCAACCCCTCCATCTTCTTTCAACATCATCATATTGCATTTAATTTTCTTGGCATAAAATGATCTATTACTTCTTTGATGCCTGTAAATTTTATATTATTATCAGTTCCTTAATTAAAAACATATAATTCATGATACAATTTAAAAAACAAAACAGAGAAAATATATATATATATATATATATATATATAACAATTTTCATGAAAGTGTGTTTGAGAAAATGTTTTCAAAATAATTTTCTATTTTGTTTTGAAAATTATGATTGAATGCTTGTAAAATACAAGTTGACGTTACATAAAAATAACTTTCAAAATCATTTTCGGAGTGGATTGCAATATAAAGAAAAAATTAAAATTAAAATATTATTTTGATCTCTATATTTTTTCAATTATTTTGGTCTATGTACTTTCCGTTTTAATTGGTCTTTTTTAGTCCATCTACTTTAAATTCTTAAAAAGTGATCACTTTAGTTCTCTTCATTCTATTTTTTATTTCATTTTTCGATCACACTTTCAACACGACACTACACGTAATATAGTTTTGAAAATTCAGTAATAACTTTATATATTAGAGGACTCCTATTATGTATTGAATTTGTGTCGAAATTTTACTAATAGTAACCACAATGATCATTTTTTAAAAGTAGTTAGATCAAAATAAACATTATAAAAATATAGAAATCAAAATGAACCAAAGTTGAAAGTATAATATCATATTTTACCCAAAAATAGAATAAGCAGGACGGTCTAGAAACAAAATTATTATCAAATATACCTAACTATTTTTTGCTTTTAATACGTGTAAAAAATCGATTACAAAATAAAGAAAAAATCTAATAAATAAGTTTATTTTTTCCCTTAAAAAAAGGGCTAAATAATATATACAATTGGATACTCACTTGTCAAATACAACCCATGTGGCATGAAGGTTGGAGATTTGCTCAACAATCAGCAATCTAAGTGGATGACCCATTATTACTTTTTTTTGTGGCACAACCTACACAAATAATAATAATAATAACAATAAACAAATTTTAATTTAATATAACTTGCAATAATTAAATATGTTTTAAAGATATTAACCAAATTAATATAAAAAAATAAATTTAATACCCCATATTTTCTGCAAAGCAATAACACAGCTTGAAGTTTTGCATGCTTGTCTTCACAAATGCACTCCCTTTCCCCTTTCTCCAAATTTATTGGCCAAATATCCAACCATGTTTTGGATGACACTACAATATGTTTACATCAATCAAAATAAATTATGTAACGACCTCGAGAATATTGACCAATTAACGTTAAGCTTGTGGAGCGTAGTCGATCAAGCCTAGGAAAGGAATCCGAATTCGAGCACCAAAGAAGACTACATGCTAGAATTTGAATTTTACTATATTTACAATTATGTTTTAGAGACTACTTTTACAATATTTTGTCTCAATTATGCTATGTTTAGTCGACGATGCGTAATCAAATATAAACAAGTTCATCCTAACTTGAATCTTGTCGTTTATACTGTAAAAGTCTTTGGAAATCGTACATGTCTTTTAAGAATAAAAAAGGAAAAGTTAAAAAACACATTTTGTCCACGTACTTTCATTGATGCAACGATTTAATTCCTTAAACTTTAGTCGGTAACAAAAGGAAAACTTAAGTGGTAAATTAAGTAGTGAATGAAAAAACAATACTAACAAGGAATATTAAGCCAAGGCATGGCACCGATGAGAGTAAGGACACAACCAGGCTTAATGACATTCTCCAATGCCCACTCGAGTGGCTCTGTTGTGAACTCTTGCATTCCATCCATCACCACCACTACATGTCTACTTGCAGCCTCTGATGACGAGCTCAAGCTCGTCATCGGCGTCGGGGTTGGGGTTGGGGTTGGGGTCGGTTGTGGCGTGTCGTCTTCTGTTGCTTCATTTCCAGACCCTGCCATGGCCTTCAGCTTCTTCTCAAAGGAAGAAAAATGAGAGAAAGGAAGAAGAGTGGGTGTTTTTTCACATAATTCTTGTTTGGCTGGCCCCAAAATTTTAAATAACAAATTTTGATACTTACAAGAATATGCATAGGAATCTGCTCAATTTTCACATTGATTCTGTCAAACCCTTAACTCTTTCTTCACTAATGACCATCGGAATCATTTTTAAAAGTCGCAGTCACAGTTCATAAAAAAATTGTAACAATATGCAATGGTTTGTAACTACTGTTTTCAACCACACAGGAATTTGATTATATAAACATCATGTTGGCCACCAGAATTCAAAATGTTCTCTGTACAGATTGAAGAAACATCCATTGTTCAACCGAGGTCGAACCCGAACCCAAAACTTGAGTTTATTATAGCTAGAAATAAATATAAGGTCTTCCACCACATATTTACCTCTAAAACAACCAAAAAAAGAGCCCATACAACCTGAGAGCGGAATGTTAAAGGGCAGGGAAACTACTTAGCAAAGTCTATCAACTTGGTTCGCTTCGCTTTGCTTTAGTTTTCGGCAGCCACGAAGCGCATCACAGAGCTATGACTTGTTTTACGGCGATTATTAGGCGGGCTCGACTTCTTACATGGCAATGACCTCAGCCTCTTCTTCTTGTTCAAGGGGCCTTCACTTTGAGGTCCGAATATTGCAGCTATCATTTTCGACCCTCTTGAACTCGGCATGCTTTTCCTAATGTACCTCAGGGCTGCTTTTCTTTCGGAATCATCCACCCCCTTGTTCGATGGCCTTCCAGACGTTGTGCATTTTTCTGTCTTCAGATGATCGGTTGAGATTCGATATTGTGGTTCTGAACAAAATACAAACTTCCAACATTAATATAGTCCACTCCTACCAACCAATCCGACATAGAAAACATATAGAAGATTAGAACAAGACTTCACCTGGAGTCTGTAAAATAGTATCAGGACAGGGAGATCTTGGTGGCATTAAATGATGAGAACCATCGCCACATCCATCTTTGTCGTTCGATCGGAGGTTCTCGTTTACAACCGGAGAAGATTTAGTTTTTGCACTCTCAAATATATGGAAATTAGCAGAAGTAGCATTTCCCAAATCGTAAGCACCTGCCTCCTCTTTGACTCCCATTTCACCAGAGAACTTAGCAGGATTCATTCCTGAAGAACCAGCAGATGCATTGGTTGTTTCACAGTTGTTGACTTTAGATTCAGCAGCAGCAAGTGAAGGGCAGACATTATCGATATTTTCCAAAACCGACTTGGGGGATGTATTTGAGGAATCTGAATTCAAGCACGGATCTGGTTGTTCTATTAAACTTGAAAACCACAAAGTTCCCTTCCTCTTGTATAATAGAATGTAGGCCTCCCGTGACAGCACATAATCTTCGCTCACCCGAGTAACCTGCAAAACATCAAAACCGAGATTTTTTTCTTTTTCAAAATGGACCAGAACCGACAAGACCAACAGGAAAGGAAACCGTGATCAGTAATCACTCATTCAATCATTGTTCATCTAGCAGGCTATAAAATACTTAAAACCTGATCTACTAACCAAATGATTTATTTAAAAAAATACTTCATAAATGTTAAAATAAAATACTTCATAAATGTTATACCAATGAGTCATCCATTCTGTGCCATGTATCGGGAGACATACGAACAAAGCTGAAGTAATGCCCAGAAGTCGAGGAAAACCCTGTGTGTTCCACAATTGCATATAATTCATACTTGAGCTCCACCTATTATTATCAAAGGGAAAGGAAGGGAAAGGAAGAGAGAGAATGAGTAATGAACTTCCAAAAAAAATTCGTACAGAGATCAAATATAACATCTCCAGACTTTACACCATAATATGAGAAATTTTAGACTCCACCTTATCATCATGGCCTCCTATGGTGTACGGCTGCAAATCCAATTCTAACGGAAACTCCACGTGCTTGTCAATTTTCTCAACAAAAGAGCCATCAGCCTTGAATCTCTTCAAGTGAAATGTTGCAACCAAAGGGATCTTTTCCAGCTTAAGCTGCTTCTCCACTAACACTTCTTCTTTGCAGTTTTCACACTTGAATTTTGCCTCTGGATCTCCTATCCTCTCCACCATGGTGAAAGACTCCAGTGCACTTGTAACAGAGTCAACATTCTCGATCTCCAAACTTAGGTCAACCAAAGGCTCGTAGGTTTCAGAACAATGGCCACACTCACAGCAGCACAGCTGATTCATAAGCAGATTGTTCAAAGACACTGAAGATCAATGTAAAACACAATCAAGCAAATAAGTCATTTCCTTACCTTGCTTATGAGACGACCGCCAAACACCTTATTCACTATACCGTCATCCTCAGACAAAACTTGATCCTTTGCTTCTGACTCCAAGCATGTCTCTAGTTTATCCAAGAAGCACTGCATGAACTCATGAGCATCTTCCTGCTGGTATCTCCGGAAACAAGATGAAAAATCTGATAATAGCTGAAGAATAACAATGGTATACCAAAACGGGACAGAACATTTGTTTCCAATAACTACGAATGAAAATTAACCATCAGTTACTGGCCAGAAAACTTCACATTTGCCTTGAACTCGGATTCAGCACCATCAAAAAAGAGATTCTTTAATACAGATTTGAAATTCTTTATGAGATACCAAGCAGGACCAAAAAAATTGTATCCAAAAACTATGAATGAAAATCAACAATCAGTTACTGATCAGAAAACTTCGTGGTCGCCTTCAACTCAGATCTGGCACCATCAAAAGTCAGATTCTTTCAAGCAGATTTATAATTATTTGATGAACTTTCACCAAGTGGGATACCAAGGACCAAACAGTTGTATCCAATAACTATGAACGAAATATCATCAATCAATAATCAGAAAACTTCATGGTTGCCATCAACTCAGATTTGGTGCCATCAAAATTCACTTACTTTCAAGCAGATTTAAAATTCTTTAAAAACTACCACACAACAGTAAAGAAACACTTACAAATATAAATCTGAAAAATTTTGGGGAAAAAGTACAGAAGAAGGATACAGCTCAAGTTATTGACAATTTTAAGTGGGGAGATAATCCCACCTAAAGTAGTCAATGAAAGCTCGATTTGATCTCGAATGGCACAAAGAACACAAAAATCCTCACCATCCCCTGCAAATTGATAATTCTTAAACCTCTGCTCTATACTAAAATTCAGCAAAATTAGAGGGTACATAATGATAGAGATCTAACTTTTACAAGGAATTTCATGATTGGCAGATCGAAGACCCTCCACAAATGGAGCAGTATGAGTGAAGCACTGCAATATTGCGTTTATAAAACAAGTATTGCCCAAATTTGCAAGCCCCGCACCCTACGAATCCATAACATCAACAAAATCAATGGAGAAAATAGAAAATAATTATGCTAATTACAAATAACTACTTGCAAGAGGAACTTACCGCTGATAAAGATTTGGTTTCTTGGGCAGCCACTGAACCTCCTAGGAAACTCTCCTCTGAAGACGACCCGAGCAAAGAACCATTCGACGAATTGTCAACGAACAGAGAAACGGCTCCTTCTGAATTAGAAGAGTGAGTTGAAATTGACGAAGACCCAATAGGGTTTAACGAAGAAGAACCCCAAGACTGATTAGCAGAGCGAGAGCGTTCGATAGGCGAAAATGGAAAATCCCCATTCCGGGAAGATAGGGCTTCTGCAGCAGTGGAGGGCCAAGACCCACCTTGAATTTCTAAAGGAGGAAACAAAAAACGATCAACTTCTTGCGATTCTGCGAGATGGGTAGCCATTAGAAGAGATAATTAAGCTCAATTCAACAAGACGGCGTCTAATGACAAGAAACAGAGATGGGGTTTGTGGATGTTGATTGGAAAGAGGAAAGAGAGGGAATTTGGATACGAAATTTGATGGGGGGAATCGGAAAACAAGAGGGAAGACGAAAATCAAAGGGGGGAGGAAATTGGAGGGATTTGAATATATATTTTGAAAAGGGAGGGAAAACTCAAAAACTCCCAAATTTGGTTGTTTCCGCTACAGAACAAAAAGAAAAACGAAAATTTGAGAGGGAAGAAAGGAAAGGGACGCGGCCGGGAGACGATAATCGGCAGTTGATTTTTCCTTTTCGATTTGCTTTTAACATTTAAACAGTAAACAAATTATGGTGTTGACTCCCACTTTCCGATTTGACTCAAACTTCAACTACTGCCTCCATATTAACTTTTTATTTTGCAAAAAAAAAAAACTAAAAGTAGAAAAATAAACACTATTATCTTTTTTTCGAATTATTTTTCTTAGAATCAAAATATATAAATTATCGATTTGATCCTTGTAGGTCCACTTAGTTTCAATTTGGTATTTATTTTCAATTTAATCTATGTAGATTAAGTTTAGCTTAAAAAACAACATATAAACGATGATTTTAAAAGTTACTTCTTTAAATACGGGACTAGTATCTTAATGAATTGAACTTGTTTTTATAATATAACTAATTAAGCTATATTTAAATTAACAACTTATATTGATTACAAACTTAAAAATCCAAATTAATACTTGTGAGTTGAGTTTCAATTTAAAAGAAAAATAGATACCAGTTGTGGGTGTCTTTAATTATCATTTTTAATTTTATATCAAACATTTCATTGAAAAAAAAATCTATTTTGGCAACTAGCCCTCAAAGCTACACTAAAGATAAGGTTTAAATATTATTTTAATTTATGTACTCTTAGAATTTTCATTTTAATATCTATACTCTCAATTTTTATTCATTTTAGTATGTTACTTTTGAAATATTTGTTTTCTATTTTGATCCATATTTGTAGAAGTATACAAAGTTGAAAGCCTTTAATATAAATTCATAACTACATTTCAAGAAATTTAGACCTGCTATGCAATTTGGATATGTTTTTCAGAAATAGATTCTTTTTTATTTTGAATATATTATTTCATTTGTTGCCGTTGAGCTATACTTATATTCATGTAAAATATAGTATATAATATTGTTAAATAATAATTATAATGCTGTTTAAAAAAAATTATAATGAACTAAATATTTAGTTGGTAACTCCATTAGTTTACAAATATATTACTAACCAAAAAAATTTTTTAATTGAAATTCAATTTTCAAATCTGCTATAAAACAAAAACAACTTTATTTGTCGGGCAAATCCATTGTTTTTCAAAGTTTTGTTTTCATGAGATAAAAAGTGAAAATAAAAGAACAAAAATAATCACTGTCTAAAAATATAGAGACCAAAAGGAGTCTTTCGAAAGTAGAACAAACATTGAAAGTATAGAGACCAAAATTGACACTATCAATATAGAAAGATCATAATAAATCAAAACCGAAAACATAGAGACCAAAATGATTTAAAACTAAAGAGAATTTAGTCTCTAAATTTTGACGATATTAACTATTAAAATTTGTATCATCTTCTATTCTATTAATCAATGGCATCAACACTTGATAACAAAATACTAATATGACAAGAGTATAATCTAAAATTCATGCAATCCTTCTAAACATGAGAACTAACTGCTCAAACTTCCAAGTTGAATTTGTAATTCAACAAAAAACACACACACACACACAGTAGAACTATACATTGATTTTTTAAATACAGCACTCAGTTATTATTATTTATTGAAACACATTCAATAGACTCCATAATCACTACTCGCTAGTAAAGTATGATTCCACTCACAACTATAAGCAAAAATCAATACAGATTTAGACCCTAAGCTCTGCTGAGATAGGAATTTCCAATCTTTGGATGGTGAAAATCTGATGTTTGCTACAAAAGGAAGAGAACTAAAGCACATGTTCATGTTCACTGTTGCTGTAGAAAAACAAAATAACCAGGTTGTTTTTGAAAGAATCTGTATACTGAATTTCTTTACATTCCTTGGTAATTAAAACTGGCCGGTAATTAAAACTGTATCGATCGAATCGAGTTCGAGCCAAATTCTACAATGGAGAACACTTTAAAATGTGTATCATCAAATGATTCTGTCCTGAAGATCTGTAATTAATGTGGATGCCAAAGAGCTTAGCTTCTTCCCTGTTTCTCCTGCAATGTTCTTGAGAGAGGAGAGATCCTGCTGTGCCTGACAGACAAGGGAAATGGATGTGTATGTAATGCAATGCTAAAAAAAAACGTGACAGCGAAATGCTAATCAGATCGAAAAAGTGATGCGAACAAACAAGGATAGAGTGGAACCTGAAAAGAAAGCCGGTTAATAAGGTCGCTTGCAGTAAGATCAATGGAAGGATTATCTCGCTGGTGACCGAATAGATCCGCGCTAGAGATGGAAGCTGAGCCCTGAGAATAGAAGGGTGGAGAATAAGAGGAATGAAAGGACTATGCCATTTTTTAAAAGTTTTAACATTCAGAGATCTCTGCTGTGTAAAGAAACAATGACTTCCATTCAACCTGTGGGGGAAGTATATATTAAACAAAATGTTTAAATCCTAATTCTATTAAAGTCCCTAATGGGCTAAGCTTTAAATTGATTTGGTTATTACTTTTCCACCTAATATCTATGTGCCTAATACATGTGTCATCGCCATAAATGGTACTAATATATGTCTACATCAGCACATTTACTACACAAATGGTAATAATACATGTCTACATCAGCACATTACTACAAATTCTCGAAACCACGCGAACTATTTATTTTAATAAAGGTAATGACAAAAATGATGGTTTTTTTTAACATTCATCAAAGGACCAAAATGAAATCATTTTGAAATTTCAAGACCAAATGGGGTTTAACCTAAACAGAATCTATTTATAGTCCCGGGATGCAAGTATACCGGAATATAAAGATGTATAAACTCAAAGCACGAAATCCAAATCACAGAAACAGAAAAAAGCTGAGAGATACTTGGAGTGGACTCATTGATTTTGTGTTCATCTTACTAGGGTTGAAATCATCTGCTACCATAACAACAAGAAAGACAAAAAGGGGCTGGCTTATCATCCTGAATTGAGGTTGTAACCATAACTATATGTTCCGTGATTATTTGTTTATTTCATTATAAACTAGAACTTAATCGATACGTCCTGTAAATTTTAAGTCCTCGATATATGAAAGAAACAGAATATATAACATATGAAAGAAGTTCATGCCCCATCATGGGCAAATGGCAAAGGTTCCTATACAAATAGGTACGAATAGAAAAGTCTGGACGACAATTTCCACTTCACTAATGATAAAGATACGGATACGCACCGAAAACTTTTGCAGGGAGACCTGGGCTTCAGCATCAGCTTTGTTCTGATCACCAAAATATTGGGCTGATGAAATAGATTTAGCATTGGAGAATTTCTTCCTTGCTTCATCACTTTCTTCAATCTAACATCATCATATAGTGAGAACAGAGAACAAATGAAGAGACATTATTATGGACCCATGTGCACAGCCATCATGATACTTGTTATGCATGCCATTACTGAGGATTTTTTATAGAAATCCTGATGATACTGTTTTACTTGCAATAAGTCGCTTCTTATCCTTACATTTGCAAGTGCATGTTCATGTACATAAAGCGAATAAAAGGTAGAAATACTTCAAAGAAATATATAATAATAGGAACTACCAATAGCACTAGAAATGCATAACTGGTCCACTACCGTTTAATTGGAAACGGATTTCACAGAACTTGTCCAAGATAAAATAATACACCAGGAAATCCATTTCAATTTCAATCAATATAACAAGTAACACGTTCTTGAAAAAATTCCATAATGTGGAATTAAAAAAATAAGATGTAAGTGTTCAGAGTAATTCATTTATGAGTACCCAAAAAAATTTCAACAAAGAGCACTTCATTCCTCAACATCAAAAAAGTATAATTACATTTAAATGAAAACACAAGTACAAAAAGCTAGTTATTGATGCGTAAAGATACAATGGAATACTAAAGTCTAAAGACAAACATGATTCATGAATACTGGCAGGATGACAAAAGCAAAGAGTTTCTACTTTCTAGATCCATAGCCTAGATTAGACAATTCCTCATTTCTTTCACAGCTGATTTAGTGAAGCATTCAGAACTCACTAGAAACTCAGAAGTACAATGTCTAACCTGCACTTTCGAGGAACTGGAACCGGCTTTTTTGGTAAAACCACCATCCATTCCAAATTCAGCAAAGAAGCCCGATGCCTTTGGAGGAGCTACATGGCTAAGCACATGAGAGCCACTAGAATTCACATCAGATGACTGGACATTTTCTACATATTCAAAGCGAGACGCAAAAGATGAACCAGTTGCAGGAGTTTTGGTCGTTGAAGATGAAACTGGAACTGTGGGTTCTTCAGGTTTCTGATCGTATAAATTCTCACTTGGCTGCATGGATTTCAAATTATACAGTCAAGCAAAATGCATTCCAATATCAATTTTGAAGTCAATATAAAATTAGGATTACAGACTTCATCTAAAATAACAATAATCCACGCACAATATACAGTGGTAGTAGCATTATTACTATTACCTTTGTTGTAAGCTTACGGGCACCAAGGCCCCCAGTCTTCCCTGGTTTCTTTGCGCCGAGGGGCTTCTTCACAGTACTTGAGAAAACTGTCTGAGATGCTTTTGATGAAGCAGAAATTTCTTGTGCTTCTTGCTTTCCATAGGCATTGTCTTTTGCAATTTCATTATTCTTGAAATCAGGAGGTCCACTTCCTGCTTGTGCTGACAGAGAAGCAACTGGGGAAGACGGCAACCCTGCCTCTTCTGCCATACTTTTAGCAACTTCTTTAGAAAGTAATTGTCTGTACAATTCGGCAGCTCTTGACGTATATTTGGCCTCAATTTTGCCTCCATCATTCCATCCATGCTGCTTAAAGAAAACTTGTGCTCGGTTATTTCCTCCAAAGCTCATTGTTTTCAGCTGCTCCGGAGTCCAGGAATCTAAATTCGTGGACCTACATCAAAATAATCCCATCATAAGGGGACAAAATGCTTGTACACTCAGATACTTTCAAAAGAATTATATCCTTGGACACTTCATTCCACTTGAAATCCCGAGTAGCAAGTTATGTATATATAATAACAACACGACTTGCAAAGGCATCAGAGATAAAGTGCGTTTACAGTTTTCAGAATGCAGCCAAAAGTTCTGTTGGCTTATAATATTTAGTGCTTTCCTTAAGGGCACCGATGTTATCTTATTGATGACCATAGACAAAACTTCCTAACAATCACATAACTCCACTAGACAAAAAAATTTAAGATCCAAATGAACAAGCAACAAATTTAGGGTTAAAAAATGACATTTTTAATAGTGCCAAACGATATTGACAACTCTTCAAATACCAAGGATGCTTTTATTCTCTCGGTCCATACAATGATGTAAAGTCTCTTTTCAAATTCCGAGGAAGTAAATCTATTTATTAATTGTTATTTGCTTCATTTTAATTACATTATAGATCTAGAAGACATCAAGCATTAACCCTTCATTCTTTAAGTAAATATTTTACTGTATCATTTCATTTTGATAAGTAAACAACTAAAAATGAAACTAACAGAAGAGGAGAGATGATTGAGTCAACCGCAGTAGCCTGGCTAGGGAATTAAATGGGAGAAACAAAGATACCTGGCTAGAAAAAATTAAAATGGGCAAGGGTAGTTACAAAAGCATTTAGCATTGAACACTCAAATATATGCAGTGAATCTAATTATATCCAAAATCCATTCTAAATCCCCTGCAATCTTTAGAAGCCAATGACACAGTTGGACAGCCTAAAGAACAGATCTAGTTCAAGTAAGTTCGTATCCTTGCAATCTTTTTTTTTTTAATAACTGGGAGTCGGAGCTTTGCTCCCCTATACCCAGGGGCACCCGCACCTGCCCCAGGACCCGGACCTGAGAGACATCAAGGGTTTTTGATATTAAGCTCACCAAAAGGTTCGAACCTGAAACCTCTAAGCCAGTATGACAAAGAAACCCCAAGCCGTTGCCAACTGGGCTGCCCCTTGGGGGCAAGTTCGTATCCTTGCAATCTTCAAAAGGACATTTATTCCTACTCTTCTAAAGTTCCCTAAGAATGCAAGCAACTGCAATCCTCCAAAGGGTTTTAGGTCTCTCATCTGTAGAGGACAGAAAGAAACAAATATGAAGGGAGAGGGGACAATGCACTAATGTCAGATAGTCAGTATGGTGACAAGAATAAGTTGGACCAGCAGAATATAAACTAGCTACTGACAAGTTGTTTACATGGTGGGATCTGGATCACATGTTTGAGAGGAACCAATGTCAGGTATCATGTAAGATGACCAAGCACGGTATCAGTATCAATAATGAAGAAAAGAACAAGTAAAAGTGTCAGTGTATGTGATTTCTTACATACACTGACACTTTTCTGAAGATGAGAGGTTTGATATCTACGCAGTTCTTCCTAATATCTTATAACTATGGCTTTTGTATCTTATTAGATTGCAAAAAACAAACCAAAACTCTCATTCTTAGACTGAACTGAAGTTACTAAAAAGCTGAAGTGCATGTTTCAAATTTTTTATTAATGTCAATAACCACACTAGTGTATTTACATATGCACATTTCTTGATTTCCAGATAATTTACATCACTTTTATCACTTCCCACAAGTTATTTCTTAAAATTTGATACATTGTACCTTCTATTAACTAATATATCAATATTGGTATAACATAATTTAAGGTTTACATGGAAGATTCTAAAATTGCCCGCAAAGTAGCGACAACCCAAACAAAAATAAACTCCCAGAAAAACGCTAATCTAAATGTTTTAATTTCAAGTTCTTCTTCTGTACATGAATGAGTTCAGATTTTAATATTTAAATGGACCCATATCAAGAAACATTCTGGACATGCAACTGAAACACAAGGGCAGGGTTTAACGTAGACGACTGAACCCATAATAGGCTAAACAAACATATATAAATGATTCGAGGAAGATCGATTCAGAGCGAGCTGAAAACAGGAGGGCGTTGAAATCAAAATCCAAACTGAAAAAGTCACCTGACGAAGCTGACATGGACGCCAAGGCTACGATGCACGGCGGAGCAATCAATACAGAGGAAGATCCCGTAGGTGACGGAAGCCCAATTGGGATTCTTAGCATTGCAATCAAAACACATCTGAAGAAAACAAGACAAAACACAAGTGGGTCGATTTGTTTTGGACGCGGAATCAGAGATCTGGGCATGAAACTCACAGATCGGGAGGAGAAATTAGAATAAACTAGAGGAAGCAAAGGAATACCTTGTTTTCGGACTTGGCTTTCAGCTTTCTGAAGACGAGGTTCTTGTCGGAGAAGCTGTCGGACGCCATTAGAAACGGAGAGGCAGAAGGATTCCCAAGGGGGTGTGCTTGAACGGACACCTCCTACGGGAAATTGAAGAAGAAAATGAAGATCGGGGAAGAAGAAGAAGAAGAAGAAGATCGGACTGCGAAACTGCAAAAATCGCAGCCTCTTCTGATCTCTCTTTTTTTTTAATTATTTCGAAAGGAAACTCCAACCGAAATGACCGAAATAACCTTGTAGATTTCTTCCATGGAACTGCTGCCCCGCCAAGCTCCCTCACCCTATAGGTGTATTTTGGTCATTTTAAAAGATTTGATAATCTTTGAAGAATTTTTTTTTTTTTTTGGTTTGTTAGGGTGTCTTGTTACTATAAAAACCTTGTGAATGATCTTTTTTAACATCTCTTGAATGATAAAAAGTTAGGAGGGTTGATCTTTTGAAGGTTTAGTTACTGTTTTAGTCGTTGTATTTTCGATTTTAATTTATTTTGATATTTGTACTTTTAAAATGTCAATTTTTATGACTCTCCCCTCAATTTTTTTTTTTTTGTTCATTTTCGTTACATATGATGTCTGTTTTGGTTCATGTGGTTTGTAAAAGTAACAATTTTGGTTACTATTTATTAAAATGTTTAAACAAATTGTATATACAATAAAAGTTATTTAATGGTCTATGGTATATAGATGAGGAAGTACAACTTTTTTAGGTACAACCTCCGAGGTTCACTAGTATCCCGAGTATCTCCACAATTGTATGATATTATTCGCCCATTATCATTCCCTTTCCTAATCAATGTCGTACTTTGTTTACAATTACCTTACAAACTCAACAACAAGTGTATTAGATACAAAATTAAAAATTTATGGTTTAACTTTATGTTTAATAGATCCATTAGTTTTAAGAGATTTGGTATAGGTTGATGACCTATTAGAACCCAAATTGGAAGTTCAAGGACCATTTATTAAAAACTTTTAAAATTTAGAGAATTATTAGACATAAAATTGAAAGTTCGTGTTAAACTTGTAATTTAACTAAAACGATATAATATAAATTAAAAATTTAATGGTATAAAAGATAAATTATTAAATTGGAGATCCCTCTGCAAAGGCATTGAGCTTCGCTTTGTATTTGATCAATTTGGGCTTCTTAGTCATTATCATATTTGGGGATTTAAATAATTTCAGAAAAATAGTTATCGAAAATTCAAAAAAAAAAACCAAAATAATTACAAAACTAATATAGATTCTACAATGTCTTTATTAAAAAGAAATAAAAACAAAAAACTATTTTGAGAATTATTATGACAACAATAAATTATAGATTTTGTAATTTTCCTTTTCAAATTACACCAAATAAGGAAATAGCCGGTTTTAAATTATTTTGAGAATATTATTTTTGCTTTATCAATAACAATCTTCTTAATAGCAACTCACACAAATTTGAGAGAGACTACGGTTAATTAGGAGGAAATAGGTTCAAATCTCATAATAACCACCTCCTTTCTAATTACTATGTATTTTCCGACATTAAATACTGTAGGGTCAAGTGTTTGACCATGACCAGTAAACAAGTTGCCCGCTTTTTCTAATCTATATCTATATTATATATAAAAGATGTTATAGGGACAAACTTTTTCTTTTTCATTTTATTTTGAAATACTTTATCTTCGTCTTTACAAATTCTATTTTTTTTCAAATTAACTATCTCATTATCATGTCAAATATTAGAATATGAAGAGCTCGAATATGTATAGTTTTGTCCCTTTGTTTATATGAATTAATTTTAAAAACTATAGCTTATTTTTAATTATAATTAATATGTAATTTAAAAAGTTTTGTAACTCTTTATTCTCTACACCTATATAAAGAGTTTTTTCTTACTAGTTTTCTCAATTTTTTCTCACAAGAACTTGAGCATTCTTTGTCGTTCAGTGTGTTTTTATCTTTTAGCCAATATCTTGTGTTTTTTTTTATATATTTTAGCTAGATTGTTTGATATAACGTTTAATTTTTAGTTTTTCTTTCATAATGCTAATAATTGTAATTCCAAATAAAACTTGATTACCTACCATATATATAAGTAATTTATTTAAAAAGCTTACAATATGACATATTTGTAATTTTTTTTTCATTATCTTTTTTCAATGACTCGAATAAGAAATCAAAACAAAGTTCTTTTATTTTATGCAGGATTATGTTTAGGAACAAAAATGATGAAAAATCATGTTTCTTGTAGAAAAAATATTCAAGTAATCGACGAACATGAATTAAGCTTAAGCTGTTTATTCTTGCTTGTTGTATTTTACTTATGGTAAATTTCCAAGTAATTGACACTTCTCAATTTTTTTTAATCACATCAACCAGATCAATGGATGATGAAATTATTAAGACGTTGATTTTATGAGATAAACATAGAAAAAAAAAACTTAGTGAGATAAACATTGAGAGATAAAAAGAGCCCAATTATATTTAAAATTTTAACTATTTAATTAATTTTTATATTTTTATACTTTAAAATAAAACTATGAAGTTTCCCGTGTATCACACGTGTTTCATACTAGTATATATAAATATTAGAAAAAATTATATCTGAAAAATATATTGTTTTATTAGGTGGTTTAAGATTTTTTTTTCCTTTAAATGAGTAGAGGATTTAACTAGTAAATGAGGATTCAGCGTTGGAAATTTAATTAGAAATTTCTCTTAAAAACATATTTAATTGACAAATTATTTTTAAAAAATAACAATCACAAGCGGGAAACTTGATCAAGGCTTCCTCGTCCCTGCCCCACTTAGGTGCAAGTAATATTCATAGACTTAATTTTTAAGAACATAAAACAAAAATAAAATTATCAAATGAGATCTAAATTTTTTTTTATTGTTTAATAGATCTTTGACATATCTAATATTTTAAAAAGTTTACAAATCTATTAGATACAAAATTTAAAATTTAGGATTCAAATACATTTCTAATAGTTTCGTCGATTTTAAGAAATTATGTATAGATTAAGGACCTATTAAACATAAAATTGAAAGTTACATACCTAAAACTCAAGAATCAATTAGATAAAAAAATTGTAAATTCAGGAATCTCTGAAATAATTTGTAAAGTTCAAAAACCTATAAGATACACACTCGAAAGTTCAAGGAATTGGTATATTTAACCAAAGTAATGTAATATAAATTCAATATTTAAAAGTATAAAAGAAAAATTAATAAATCGGAGGTCGGATTAGGCCTTTCGCTTGTATTTAGATTACTATTGGGCTTCTTAATCAATTTGGGCTTAGTCTTCATCATATTTGGGGATTTAAACAGTTTCAGAAAATATTTATCGAAAAGTTAAAAAAAAATCAAAATAATTACAAAACTAATATAGCTTGTACAATATCCTTATTACACTATTTCGAAATATATATATATCCTTATTACAGAAAAAAAAAAAAAGAAAGGAAAAGACATTCTTGGCCTTATTTGACCATGAAGAATTTTTTTTAAAGAGAAAAAGAGAGAGAAACTATTTTTAGATTTATTATGACAACAGTAAATTATAGATTTGTAATTTTTTTTTTTCAAATTACATCAAATTAAGGAAATAACTAGTTTAAATTATATAATTGTATTTATATATCTAATATCTGGTATATTGGTGATATGCTGCATATTAGGTATATCAGTAATAGACAAAAAATAAAGTAGATCACCTTCACCTTTTCCAGAATGGGGTTTCGAAGGGCAGTAACCTTAGCCCAGAACTCGATCTACGGTCCCCCAAGGTTAGGGGTACTCAAAAGCACCGTTTCCAACGGTGCAATCTATGGTGCCTCCAAGACATCCCGCCCCCTTTCCAAGTGCTTCAAATCAAATAAGGCAAGTTAGAATCACTAACCAAATCGAAAACTCAATCCTAAACTTCGGAGTGGAAGATAGTAGAAGGTGAGTTTTCTGGATGTTGGAAAACGGGCATGAGAATGAGTATTGTTCCCTATTGGAGATCCTTTACTAAAACCCTGAAAAACCACCTCTTCTTCGTTTTGCTTTTCTGTCTAAGGCTCTTTTGGAATGGAATGAATTCAACTAATGTGCACAGAGTTTAGATGAAATTTGGGTTGACCTTAAGGCTGCTATCTCTCGTGCCTAATATATATTTAATGTGACTGTTATACTTTATATTAGGTACATCAGTTATAGAAGTTACATACTTTATATTTAGTATATTAATTATACCTAATATCAAATATATCATTGATATTATCAGTTATATCAAGTGACAAATATTTGAGACGGATTCTTTTGGCTTTTAGGGGAAAAAAAAGACACTTGTATATGGAGCTGATAGTATCTATTATTGAGTAAAACTAAGGTGTCACACGTCATAAGTCCTAAACGAAGCGCATAGGGCCCAATTCAGAGTGCACTGGCTCTGAAGCCAATCGCACCTGGGCAATTCGTATGAGTGACAGCTAGCGAGTATGGTGTTGACATCCTATACCCAAACTGTGATACGCCTCAAAGAATCACGCAGGGTGCCGCAATGTCTCCATCCACGACATAGAGAAGGAAAAAGAATGTTGGTGGTCCCCAAAGACTCCAAGCGCGACACGTCGCCTCCCTGTATCTGCCTCACACATTCTACGTCACTTTTCCTCTCTCCATACTTAAAGAGGAGATCAACAACAACTCTAAGTGAGGTAAGCTGATTTTTCCTACACATCTCTTTATGAGAATTCGACACACACTCTCAAGTAGGCTCTCACGCTCGAGATTACTACTCTTTCTAACCTATTTGTTCCATACCTGTTTGCTCCCAATTCGAGTTTTAACTTAATCATCTGAGTGCATTTGACAGAGCACCATACCGATAGTAGATTTCTGTGAGGTAACTAAGAGTTTGGAAACAAAAGCGTACGTGACACTTATGTGACGCTTGTCCATAAATCTAAGAATAGAATCTTTGGTTCCAATAGGTATATTTCTTTCTTGATATAAAAAAATAGCTAGTGATAGCTACAAATTATATTTTTTTAATATAAGAAAAATCTAAATTGTGATTATCGTGTGATCATAAGGTGATAAATATTAGTTTAATTATATAACTTGCACGACTTTCTAATCGCAGCCATGGTCAAACAAAAGTACTAATTCCAAGGTTTTCTTTTGTTTTGTTTTTTTAGTTCATCCTAATTCTA